CGAGCACAGTGATGTCACGCCAAACAAAAACCTAATCGGACTGCATTATAGAATAAGGGACCACTAGTTTTGGTTCATTTTAGAAACAACATATGTGACATCAGTTTTTCTGTGTGCAATTGGACGTATTTAAGCTAAAAGGAACTATATGCACGTGACATAGTTCCTATTTGCATAAATACGTCTAATTGATAAGGTAAAACATAGCAGGCTTCTTATTGCACAATGAAGTTCGAAAGGGACCAAATGACATCATGCACTGCTTCCATATCGTCGGATAAATATATTTCAGGTTCTGTTGGAGATTTTGTGGTATTTATTTCATTCATTGCAAAAATTCTCTGATAATTTTCTGAAAAGAAACTTGTAACAACCAATTAATTACTCACCTATAAAAATAAGCAAGCTATCTAATAAAATATGAAAGTATATGGTTCATTTGGTTCATTTTTGCTCTTCGCTGCTCAAATGATTAATTCTTCAACTTACATTTAGTGTTGTGATTCGTGGAGAGTTTGCGGTTGAAATGTGCAATTGCATTCCAATCGTAAGGAGGGCATCTGATTTTTGAAGGATTCCCCAGTTTAAGACAGGTTGATTAAAAACCACTAGGAATCATCTATAAAAAACAGGTATTTGTTACGACTGGACACCCGAACTAGTTTTCTAGCAGTGCAATGTGTGTGGGATTCGCGGTGAGCTGAGAATAATGTGTTGGTAAAAAATACATGGGCAAAACCAGAAAAAGACTTGAAAAAGGAGAAAAAAATCAACTGAACGTGAATCAAAGTCTTTGGGCTCCCAATCACCGACAATAGCTTGGTCTTATGAATGATACAGTAAAAAATACGAGTAAAACAACAAGACGGACTAATTGCAGGGGAAAACCAATGGGACAATGAATTTGACGATGCCGCAAGATTGCCGAGGCTCTGGCAAACACATCGCTTTGCCGAAAAAAGAACCTAACTCCATTTTCAAATGATTCCCCGCATTGATAGGGAATTACAAGCGAACTCGAATCAAAATGTAGTTAAGCGCTTCTATCGCCAAAACGACGGATTTAGGCGGAACTTGAATACGGTGAAAGCCACCGTGGCTTCTGCGGAGCTTTGAATCATAATTAATGAAACAACGAGGGGTAATTGAGACGCTAATTCATTCGATCGAGCGCCGTATCGTACTGTGTTGATCGAAAAAAATGTCAACAGAATTTTAGTATGAGCCCTTAGTTGTATTGGAAAGCATGGTTTCCAGGTCTCATGTAGAAGAATGGATAGTCTATCGGGAGATTGAATGGTTTAGGTATGGCAAGCGCGACCAGTATCAATTCGCGAACGTTTCAGTCTCGCTGCAGCCAAGCCACGCGACCTCAGCGTTGTCAAAAACAACTGAATATAATAGCTTTTTATACAGAAATTTGTTGTTTTTCTAATAAAATCGGCAACATTCGAGAGAATTTGAGCACGCGTTTGTGATTTGTCCAGGGATCACTCTAATTTCATGACTTTTCTGAGCAAGAACGAGGCATGTAAAGTGACTCGAGACTGGAGGATTCCACCCTCCACCACCCCTATAAAAATAACTAACTTACAGTAACTATATGGAATTTTTTACGTTTCCACCCCCTTCAATTCCATGCCCATTCTAAACCTCCAGTTTCCATTTCCATACCATTTCCGATGCATTGTAAAGCTACGGCTTAGAGCTGTGAGCATGTGGATTTAAACCTAAGAAACGACAGGATATAATGCATATTTGACAAAATTATTGAGTAACCTCTAGTTTTTTTTTAAGAGTCATAAAAAAGTCTACTCGATGTAGTCTGCGTTAATCTGTATGACTTCCTCTTAATTATAATGTGGAGACAAGAACGTACTTGTCAAATATTTTCCACTTTGATCCCGTTATGATTATTCATTCTGTGAAAAGTGCGGGCGTTAATTTGTCTGAATAGTTGGTTTGCACCAATGAAATTTCCTCTCGAGCATTTCATTGAAAAAGGAAATAAAAAAAATGGATGTTTCCTCGGTGACATCACTTTAGTATACCTGCATCTTGTTGTCATACTTCAGATAAGGCGTTCACCTGAGAATTACCATATATGGCCACTTTAAAAGTATTTGAAAATGCTTCAATTTGGCAATCGTGATACAATGTATGTGCGTACGCGAGGAAAACAGGTTTTCATTTGGTCGGAAAAATTTTAAAAGCTATGCTGATGGCTCAGACATGTTAATGCTCTTTTCACCAAAGGAAATCTCTGAGTTTCTCGGTAGCGAAAGGGGGAAGGATTGAATGGAAAGTTATAGGATAAGCCAAGAATGTTTTGTATTAGAGGGATTATTTTCATTGGCATGGAATGAAATTCTCTGAAGGAGGTTGAGAGAGCAGTCGTTGAACCTTCTTGGGGTTAGGGGAAAAGGAGGGAAGAATTCCCTCAGTTAATGTCTTTCGCCAGGCCAGATCACGAAAAAGAAAAAAGGAAATGTAAATAATACATGCAAGGGACCGTGATCGGTTTTGAAAATTTTATAGAGTATGTGTGAAATTTAATACCAAAGACGGTAGATTTTTATTCGTCAATACCGGGGGATGACTGAGATTCGAATTGGACCTAAATATACACTGAAAAAACATATGGTAGATTTTACCATACTCTAACTCAGTGATCAGAGTGTGGTAATAAACACCAGACTCTATGGTAGCATATACCATGCTGAAGTATGTATCACCGGAGTTCTGGTAAATATTGCTACAATTTTAGTTATTTCCGCTAAACACTTTCGCTGTGTAAAAGTAGACTTATAGTGGATGTTACCGTACTTTTTTTCAGTGTGCGTCCTGTGCGTGCATTTGGCGAACCTGTCAATTGTTAGATAAACATAAAATTTTGATACCTAGTCTTCACTTCGAGTCAGAGGATCTACGACTGGCAAAAATAGCAGTTTCTATGGAAACAATAAGCGTCAAGTTGCGTTTCCAGAATGCTGATTTTCTACTTTACACCACGGCGCGTGTCACTTATGAACGCTGCATGTAAGCAGTATCCTGATCTGCCAGGAAAGCAGTAAGTATGAACAATCCGCGAATTCTCAACTTGAATGCTTTTCCAGTTCGGTTTCTAGTCGTGCTGATGAAGTTGAAGTTCACCGGGTAAACCGAATGGAAAATCCACGATTGAGTTGGTAAAGTCAGCCAAGGTTCTGGTTTTACCAAAGTTATTAAGCCTACGTCAGTCAGGCGACCACAAGTTAACATTAAGCGATTTTCAAGGTGCAAATGCGGTTTGACTTAACTACAGCCAATTGATCAGCCTACGAAAAGAGACGTCGGTATTTCAGCTAAACTTTGATTCCTACGACTCTCTGAAGTTGTCGGTTCAGTTAATCGAAATTATCAGTCACGCGGATCGAACCTCGGTTCAGGTGGTCGACGCCTGAGACTAAAAAGATCGATTAATTTAGCCGAAAAATTAACTCAATTTTTATTGCTCCGTGTACAGATTTACATTTGAAAACGAGGAATAATCAAATATTAAGTTGTCTACCCTGGAAAAAAAAAAACTTTGGATATAGAGTCCAGACTCTTGAAAACATTGTCAAGAAGAAATACTCTTGATTCAATCGGATTTTTGCTAGAATCAAAACGAAATCCGCTTAAATTAAGAGGCTTGGTTCTTGATTTAAGCTACATTCTGATTGAATCAAGAGTACTTTTTCTTGTCGATGTTTTTAAGAATCTGGACTCTAGATACAATGTGTTTTTTTTCCAGTGTACAAAGTTGAAGATGAATTTGTTTTTTCAATGTATTTAGTACTAAGCAACTGCCCATAGTTTTTACAATCTGGATTACATACCTATTATGTTAAAAATACCGTCTATTTTTGCCAAAAAATGATGTTAAATCGTAAAAAGAGGAAAGGTTTTAACATTGACCATTCAATCGTCGTTGTAACAAATTGACCATACCCTTTTTCTGAAATAAGAGAGCTATCAAGCAGGCAACTAAGCCATCATACAGCTTTTTTGGTCCGTGCAAGTTGTCAAGCTATTAGTTGTCATTCTAAGCGCTCTCTATAAGGGGAGAAGGAGTCAAATTTGGAAGAATCAAGTTTGCCGGAAGGACGTTTCTTCATCGGGCGCGAATCTGGGGTAAAAAGAGTAATTCTGCCGTGCACAGGAAAAACGCCGTATGAACATTCAAATGTTGCCACGTTCTTTAGTAAAATACGCATTTTTTTAGTAAACTTATGAAGATTTTTTTTAGAAATGTTTAGAAACTTTGGGATCAGATTGTCACTAAAAGTTCATGAAAAATTAGAAAAATATTCACGAGTTTACCGAAAAAATGATGTTTTATCGAAGGAAATTTGGTTATGTTCAAAGTCTTATACGGTACTTTGCCTTCGCATCGCAAACTTGTAAACGAACTCCAGAGAAGCAATGCATCTGTGGCCAAACCATAAGTGTATATATGCTATTGTAAAGGCCGATGTAGATAGCAAAACTATCTACCACCCCTCCACCCCCCCAAAGAAAAAACAGCAAAAGGATTGAATGACAAAAAACAAACATTACAAAAAATCAGCCCCCAAAAATGATGGGCAAAAAGGGCAAAATAAAAAGAAACTTATGAAGAGGGCTAGTATTTTGCGGAAGCTTTGAGCAAGATTAGCCCCTTTGACCACGGCGCTAATATCGATGTTTACCCACGAATTTTTACGCTACTGTCTTTTGGTAGCACTAAAATTTGTTGTTATTGGAATATCGATTGCTTGCTGTCAAATATCGGTTGCATTTAAACATTTATCCTCTACACTTCTTTGAGCTCTTGAACCAGTGACTGTCAAGCGTGGACTGGCGCTAGGTGCACAACCATCAACTGCCCGCACCTCCTAGGATTTTTGATATGGTATCATGTCAATGATACTTACGTGTAATGTGCCGGTGAAAAATCTAAAATAATTTAAAGTATGAGTATGAGTGAAAAAGCTTACCTAAATTGGTGTAGCGTAATAATCCTATGTATGTATCCAGTAAGTAAAACTTTTCACTGGTTTAATAAAACCTTCGATTAAAGGTCGGTAAAACTGAACACACACGCGTGCCTAGATATTAGCAGAAGTTTAGAAAACGAACATAAATTCGATAAACTTGTGTGAAAATGAGCACTGCAAGTCATTTTCCAGGGGCAGGAGAGCCGTAGCAATGACTTAAAAAACAAAGGAGGGCAACCACAAGGATCACAACTCAGAAATTATATTACTCGAAAGATTCGCGTGAATCATTCTGCCGACAAATCCAGATCGCAGAAATTCGCGAGGGAACGAAACTATGCAAACCTCCTCAATGAGTATTTCCCTTCCTACGAGACGGGTAGGAAAAAAGTCCGCAAAAGTGCACGAAAAAGCGACGCGAAAACCACAGGAAAATCCGCGACACTTGACACACAACTGCGGAGCAACGAACACTTGAGAATCCCGGAGAATCACGGCGAAAACCACCGGGAGTGTGTGTAAACAAAACAAAAACTGGAGTAAACTGTGCTTACAATCGCGTAAACACTCTCAACTAATGCCGGGCGGCACTCGGAAAGCGTTGTGAAATCGAGGGTTTTGAAACTTTTGAGAATTTGTTCAAATTCTTGCGCGTGCGGGGGTGGGCACAAGAAAACCAAACAAATCGACGAGGGGAGTCGCGCCAACGCGGACAGACAGGACGCGCGTCGTTCGAGCAGTAAGGCTGGCGACCAACTGACTAAGAGCGCATCGGCGGCCGGGCTCGGTGGCTCGGAGCGGGTCAGCCAGCCCGGGTTGGGTTCTCTGTTTCTGCAGCGATCCAGTTGATGGAAGATGGATCGACGGAGGTGGAGGTGGCGGCTGTACCCGCGGTTCCTTCGTCTTGTTCTTGTCTTGTCTTGTGATTCTGTTAGCTAACAGCTTAACGGCCCCTCGGCCCGAGAACCCCAGTGGCCGGGGCATCGGCCTGCTTCCAGCTCGTCTGTTTCCCGCTCCTGCATCTCCTGCCCACGAAAATCCGAAACCTACTCGTCTGGCTCCTGGGATCGTCCTCACAGACGGTGTGGATGGCACGGGAAGATGGGTCAAAAACCGCACTTGTTTATCGATGGTTGTAAGCAGTGTTCGAAACTCACAGGCGCCAACGCGCCAAATGCGCCTAAAAAATCGGCCATGGCACCTAAAAAATGAAGGCTCTGCGCCAACGTGGCCCCTAAAAATTGGCCCCTAAAAATCTGGATTTTCAGATGAAGTCACATAAAGAAAGAAAAACTAATCTATTTGAATTAAAAAAATTCAGAATTTCCAGCACTACAAGTGAAAGCTTTTTCTATTCTTCACGATTTCATTCTTATAGTACTTTTGTCTTCCTCGAGTTACAGCTACTTACTAGTTCTGTTACGAAAACATCTTGCGTCTAACTTTTCACTAAATGCGCCGTAATATATAAGCGAAAAATAAATTTGGCCCGTAAGAAATCTTCAATGGCGCCTAAAAATCGGGCTTGATGCGCCACATGGCTCCTAAAACTCAAAGGTGAGTTTCGAACACTGGTTGCAAGTGTACTTGTGTTCGGGTCATAGGGGACCAGCTTAATGGTGCTTGTGTCTGAATTGAATCGGGTGTTTACTGGTGGTTGGGTAGCTGGACGCTTCACCCAATTTTTTTTACCCGATACGTAATTTGGCCAACAAAAATTGAAGTTATACTTTGGCTGTGTTGCTCACGAAGCTCTCTAAGCATCGCTACAAATGAATCACATATTGCAGAAAGGGCACTATTGCAGAAATGTTAACTGTTCAGAAAATGCAAAAAACTGATTTGAGTAAACTATAAGCTTTTGGAAAAAAAAATTTCGAGGTTTTCTTTTGTCCCCCAAGTAGACTGACAATTTCCATAAAAAAATTTTACATGATACCCTTTCTGGGTTGTAAATAATGACACTTGAAGGAAGAGCATTAGTGCCCTTTCTGTAATACATGGGGGAAGGAGCCATAAAGAGTGATAGAATGAAGCCAGAAAATTATTTTAGTCCTTGTTTTTCATCTCAAATGTATGGCAATGATGCATGTCTATAGCGAAAGTTGGAAATTGTATATCTCCATTGCAACGTTTCAAAATTTCTGCTCTCTTTTTATACTATTTTTTTAAAGAGAACGAATAGAGATTTTCCCATGAAATTTTCAGAAAACAATCTTGATGGCGTGAAGAAAATTTACACAAAATTTCAATAGAGAATACTTAAGAACAAAAAAAAAAGAAGACGAAATAAAATTGGCAATGTCGCAATTGATGGTATGCGATTTCGAACTTTCACCATGTGGTTTGCCCACAGCTATGTAAATTTTAAAAATATTTCTGGCTTATTTCAAGTCAAGAAATTTAAAAAAAAGAAGAAGAAAAAAAAAATGTATCCCCTGAAGTTCAGTAGCGTAGTAATCTTCTACCTACTTCCTCATCCAACCTGTTAAGGGCTCCTCTCACTTCCTACACTCAAGGTTCAATTCTCATTCCTTTCATTTTCAGCGTGAGTGAAGCGTGTAGCGTGATCACTGTCGTTTCGAAACGCAAAACTAACCTCTCAATCGTATCAAAACAAAACAAACGACGAGTTGCCGCTGCCGATGCGCGCGCACCCAGTGGACATGTACTGCAGAAACGGCACTATATGCTGCAACAGTGCCCTTTCTGCTCTACGTGAAGAACTTAACCCCTGTCAAAAACACATAAAAAATGCGAATATAGTGCCCTGTCTGCACTACAAGATGTGTCTACATACACTAATGCGAAAACCGCAAAAAAACTCAATTTCGAAAAAAATGTCGATTGTGCCCTTTCTGTAATAGCTGATTCAAATAAGACAAACGGAGCCAACAAAACATGGAGATAGAGTGAGAGACAAGATTTACTTTGATTACGGCGCAGAGATACAACTATTCGTGCTTGATGGATGTCCGTGTTGCATCTGCAAAATTGAAGGCGTGATGGCGCGAGGCGTTAACTCGCAATGCTCCGCTTTATTCTATTATGACGTTTCGCTCAGATTCGGGAGAAAAGTTTTAAAAAAAAGGCCCGATTACGTCACTCCTATTTTCGGCTGGGTTGCTCATGTAGCTCGTGAAGCAAAACTACAAATTAAACCAACGGAAACCTGCAAAATGTGAAAGTAGAGTAAATGAAAGGAAGTGCGTTAATGACGGCGCAGGGATACAACTATTCGTACTTGATGGATGTCCGTGTTGCGTCTGCAAAATTGAAGGCGCTATGACGCGAGGCGTGAATTCGGCATGTTCCGCTCTATGCTGCTAATGAGGTGTCACTTAGATTCGGGAGACAAGTTAAAAAACGAAGCTCGATTGCGTGTCTCCTATCTTCGGTCGTCTTTCTCACGTAACTCTTGGAACATCACTATAAACTAAACAAACAGAAACTAACACAGTATGGAGATAGAGCAAACGAATGGTCACGCGTAAATAACGGCGCAGAGATACAACTATTCGTACTTGATGGAATGATGGATGTCCGAGTTGCGTCTGCTAAACTGCACTACTACAAATCGTCGCTCCCCTAACGTAAGGCCGTATCACAATTTCCACGTGAGCCCTGCTTTATATATTACGCCATGCTTTCCGGGGCTCTTGTGAAGAGGAGCGACGAAATAAGATAGACGGAAACAACAAACGTGGAAATAGAGCAAGGGAAAGGTTGCGCGTTGATGACGGCGCAGGGATACAACTATTCGTGCTTGACGGATGTCCGTGTTGCATCTGCACAATTGGAGGCGCTATGGCGTGAGGCGTGAGCTCGCGATGCTCCGCTCTAGGCTGTTAATGAACTGGATTGTATTTTGCAAAAAGGAACCACTAGCATTGCAATGATGCTAAGATTGTGCAACTTCATCCTTTGCAATAAAATTGCAGAAATTGTGAAAAACTATGAAATTTAGATGGTAATTTTTGTCTTAAATTTACAGTTTTTAGCGAGTAAAATAGAAACTATTAAGGGATAATCGGGTTTTTCCTCCAAGACAAAAGAAGTTGCACAATCTTAGCAACATTGCAATGCTAGTGGTTCCTTTTTGCAAAATGCAATCCAACTGTCATTCTGGCTCTAGGAAAAGGTAACAAAGACAGACCCAAAAGATCTCTCCTACCTTCGGCTGTGCTGATATTTGATTTTTTTTCATTTTTTCTTAAATTTGATATATTATTCATTTTTGCTGCTTTGATCATTTTAAAAAGTAAAAGTATTAGAATTTGTAAAATGTAGTTACATGATATGGGAACATATTTTAACCGGCCAAGGAGGGGATTAAATGAGTAAGAGGCGGAAAATATCCTTTGTTCTAAGACTGACACATGCATCCTGCCTTACCAATAAAAAACATCTCATCCGTTCGAAAGTTCGCACAAAGCACTGTTTTTTTTTTTGCTCTGCGAATGACCTCTTTTAAGGCAAACACCTTGCCATCATTTAAAATTCCTTACTAAAATTGGTCACTCGTCTATGATTTTCCTCCTCCTCCCGAGAAAAGAATTTCTCCAACACGACAGCTCGTATGATTTATGATGGAAATATAGATATAACAATTTATGCAAATAAAATTATTAATATGCGGTATAATCTTTTGAACTATATCCGATTTTTCAATGAGAAAGATCCGTGATGGTGGTGATTGTTTATTTACACGTCGTGTCGTCGTTTCCCCCACGAAACAACGTAACTACATTTCAGCGTTGCCAAATTTTCCTCTGCAAAGTGCACTTTAACCGAGAGAATTTTTGGAATTTCTAAATTAAAATCTCACTGATTTTTCTACTGATCTCATGCAAAAATCAGACAATTTTTAGACGAAATCGCGCAAGGACATTCTTGTAAAAAAAATTGAATTATTAGAGTCAATTTTGCAACCTTGGAATTGAGTTACGCTTTTTCGTCTGGGCAACGATGATATCCACAGAATTTTTTCATGAAAGGTAGGCAATATATTTCAGACGATATATAAATGTTCACTCGTCAAAATCGGCGAAAACCACCTGTGTGTCTCTGAATAAAAAACCACACATTTTTCTTTTCTTAATGGAGTGACTGAATAAATTATCTCGTGTGTTTGTCTATAGTAGCAGAGCGTCCATAGAGATGAACAGTTGTACGTATTCAAAGCTACGCAGAAAAGAACTATGTCCTTATATATTTCATTTTCACATAGGTCCTTTCAGCATTACACATTCAGCTTCACGAAAAGCTACGCTGAAAAAAACTATGTCTTCATTTATTTCATTTTCACATAGGTCCTTTCAGCATGAACGTCCAGCTTCACGACAAAGGCAAAGCGCGTGCGACGGCCGGTTTGGATTGATCGGTGGCACGATCCAAGCTCAATCTGGAGTGGGTTCGACAGCGGTAATCGTGAATTCATAATTAATACGAAACAGTTCTAGTTCGGATCTACCTGTTGCTAGACCAAAAAGAGGCGAATAGTCTTTGACAGTTTATGTAACTTCCAGTACCAGTTTCTGCTTGATTGATACCCGTGCTGTGATCATAGCCCCAAGACGGCAGTATTAATCATTGCCACTGATTCCTCTCGTATCCGATTTCAAACCGATGTGAAAATCGGATGTTATCAAGGAGGGATCTCTCGTCGGATATAATATTTTTTTAAAAAAAGAAAAAGAAAAAGAAGAAGATAAGTGTGTGGCCATTCGACAGAGTAAGGACCTT